GCTGTGAGGTAATGGGGTCTTTGGCATCCTGGCATGGCTGGCCCACAGGGACACCTCCCCCCATCTCCACCACAGTTGTGGGCGGCTGTGTTAAGAGACTGCGCTCTGCCCTCTGGGGCACTGCCCCCGTCCTGGCGCTGTCTCCTCACTGTGTGTGGTCGGTGCTGTTCTGTTTCCACAATGCCTGGGTGAGTCACACAGGCTCTCATGTCCTGTACTGTGGAAGATGCCAGGGCCTTGTGATAACTATGCTCCACGATGCTCAACTTAGATCGTTTCAGATGGTTGCAGCCACAGGAAGCCTGATCCACCCATCAGCTCAGTGTTCTTTGCACTTTACTTCCTGCAGTTTCACATCCTCGGTAGTTGTGTTCCCTCTAGGGCGCTTGGGAAGGAAGCCCATGGGAGAACTCATGGCTGAGGGTAAGAGACTTGGCCTGTGTGGAGTCAGCAGTGAAAGGGTGGCCAGGGAGGGCAGGCGCCGCATGTACCTGAACCCACGCTCCTCCCTGGAACGCTGTTCATCTGTGCAATGGTAGGTACAAGGGGGCAGGGTCCAGGGACCTACCTGGTACACTGTCCTTGGTCACCAAGGCAGGGCCCAGAGGGCAGAAGGTGTCGAAGGTTTTCCCCAGCAGCCACTGTTTCCCATTGCGTGTCGTTAGCCAATCACGAGCACTCACGTCATGGGCCACAGTGAAGCCGGCCACGTGGGCCATGGCATCTGTGGCCTATGGGGCAGGGGATATGGCCATACAGGAGGTTAGATCACGGGTGACACCAACACCTTTGGCAAAGGATCTCTAAGCTGTTATCCCGTGTTAGTAGCCAGGGCCAGCCAAAGGTGGGTGAAGGGCAAGGCAGTGTCAGGGAGCAAGGAGGCTGACCGCTTCCTAGGGTCAGGGACAGCTGGCACCGTGTGTTGGTGAGAGGTCAGCACTGGGAGAGGCAGGAGCTGGGGCCTCTGCTATACCCTGGCCTGGGAGCCCCACCTTTCCACCTCACCTTGATGTGCTTGCCTTTCTTTCCAATGACCACGGCCAGCTCCACTTCCCAATCTACTTCCTGTAGGGTGAGAGAGGAACAGTGAGCTGCAGTGGCTTTGGGGCCCATTGTCCATGCTGAGAGGCTGCACACGGTGCTGAAGGGCCTGGACCTTTGTCATTAGGGCTTAGGTGCCAGCCCATGTTTGCCATCACCATGAACCAGAGCCAAGTGAATGACAAGGGACCTGTGACTTGCAGACCCATACATTTTGGGCAGTGGCAGACAGCATCACGGGATGCAGGCACAGGTCCTCTCCCCACTGTGACTGCAGAAGAGCAACACGTGTCCGGTGCACTGAGTTTAAAAGTTACTCTGGATACTTTTAACGAAGAATAAATACGAAGTAATATCCTCTAGCAATATGTAACCTTACTGTGTGTCAGGCACTATTCTAAATGCTGTAATGTTGTTAACTCACTTTAGTAAGAAAAAGATTGACATCCCACAAAGGACTTGAGTAAGCAATTCACAAAAAGGCAATGGACATGGCCAGAAAACATGAAAATATGCTCAGCCTCTCCCATAATCCATAAAATACAACTACAAAATAGATATAATTTGGCCTTTAAAATTGGCAGCTCTTTCTGATAATAACCAGTTGGTATGAGTACACCTGACACCCAGATGTTGGTCTCTAATACCACTCCCCATTAAGAAGCACCGGGTTCCTCGGGGAAATGGCTAATTCCAGGTCCGAGACAGACAGTACATGATAAGACTAGAACATCTTGGTCAAAAAGCTAGGATATACAAAAAGTGACGGGAATGGAGCCAACTTGAAGGCCCCTCACTGGCCAAACTGAGGTCACCTAAAGAATGTAAATGATGAATTACAAACAATTGAGTAAAAACAAAAATCATGAATTCACAGTGATATTGAAGACACAGGAATAAAGAGGAGAGGCAGCTTTTCTTCATAGAAGAATGCCAGCCAATAAAAACAGAAGGCATGATTGAGAAGAGTCATTGATCTTGGCCGGGCATGGTGGCTCACGCCTGTAATCCCCGCACTGTGGGAGGCCGAGGCGGGCAGATCACCTGAGGTGAGGAGTTCAAGACCAGCCTAGTCAACATGGTGAAACCCTGTCTCTACTAAAAATACAAAAATTAGCCAGGTGTGGTGGTACACGCCTGTAATCCCAGCTACTTGGGATGCCAAGGCAGGAGAATCACTTGAACTCAGGAGGCAGAGGTTGCAGTGAGCTGAGATCATGCCACTGCACTCCAACCTGCACAACAGAGCGAGACTCTGTCTCAAAAAAAAAAAAAAAAAAAAAAAAGGTCATTGTCCTCTAACCCCCAATGCAATAATGGATTCAGTCAGGATGACCACAGGATTCCTGGATAAGAAGATGGGGCAGTAAGTTAGTTATGTGATCTCAAACTACCACTCACAGACTGCTTATTAATTACAAAAATGGAAATGCGTCTTTCCAATGGAGGGACCTAGTGAATGTCAGCTAAACCAAGTGGTCAAATTCTGGGACCACTGACATGAGCCTCCCAGTGGGATGCAATGGGAAATGTATAACATCTTTGTAGACCTCTTGATAAAAATGCTTACCCTGACACTAATCATGAAGAAATGACCAGACAAACCTAGGCTGTGAAACATGCTATGAGACAACTGGATTCTTCAAGGAAAGGGCAGGGAGCATGTTTGAGATCAGGAGTTGGCAAACTATGGCCAGCTCACTGTCTGCTATAACAGTTTGAATGGAAACCCACCATTCATTTCTGTATCGTCCCTGGTGGTTTTCACACTACAACAGCAGAGTTGAATTGCTGCAAAAGAGATCATCTGACACTCAAAGCCTAATATTTACTAATTGGCCCTTGATATGGTTTAGCCATTTCCCTACCCAAATCTCATCTTGTAGCTCCCATAATTCCAACATATCGTGGGAAGCCCCGGTGGGAGATGACTGAATCCTGGGGGCGGGTCTTTCCCGTGCTGTTCTCACAACAGTGAATGGGTCTCATGAGATCTGACGGTTTTAAAAATGGGAGTCTCTCTGCACAAGTTCTTTTCTGCCTGCTGCTATCCGCCTAAGATGTGACTTGCTCCTCTTTACCTTCCACCACGATAGGCTTCCCCAGCCACATGGAACTGTAAGTCCAATTAAACCTCTTTATTTTGTAAATGACCCAGTCTCGGATATGTCTATCAGCAGCATGAACACAGACTCATACAGCCCTTTAAGTAAAAGTCTATGGAACCATGTTCTAGGTTAAAACTACTAAAGAGATAAAACTGAATACAGTGTGTGGCCTTAGTTGATCACAGAGCAACAAAGTAACCAAATTAAAAGTCATCTTTGTGGCAACTGGGTTTCATGTTAAATATTATTCAAGTTAATTTTCTTGGCTGTGATAATGGTATGGTCATGCAAGCCATTGTCCTTATAAGATGTCTATTTAAGTTTTTATGACTAAATTGTCTTAATATTTGTAATGTGTTTTCAAAGGTCTCCTTCACCCCACCCATGCAAAAAATAAAGAAAAATGTGTTTGCACGTGGAAGGCAGGGAGAGGGCAAGGGAGAGAAAGCAAATACAGCAAAATGTTTATAGTGAAACCAGGTGAAAAATATATGAGCATTCACTGTATTATGTTTTCAGCTTTTCTACAATTTCCAAGACATTTCTAAAATAAAAATTTGAGAGAAAAAGTAACTAGTGTTAGTAAGGGTATATACACTATTGATGGAAGTGTAAATTGCTTTTACAATTTGCTTAAAGGACAAATGGGAGATTTTCTTAAAAGTTTTGAAATACTGCCTATAGTTTAATATATTCAAATCCTAAGAGTTTATTCAAAGGAAACACTAAGGCCAGGTGTGGTGGCTCACACCTGTAATCCCAGCACTTTGGGAGGCTGAGGTGGGCAGATCACAAGGCCAAGAGATCGAGACCATCCTGGCCAACATGGTAAAACCCCATCTCTACTAAAAATACAGAAACTAGCTAGGCGTGGTGGCATGCGCCTTTAGTCTCAGCTACTCAGGAGGCTGAAGCAGGAGAATCACTTGAACCCAGGAGGTAGAGGTTGCAGTGAACCAAGATAGCACCACTGCACTCCAGCCTGGCAACAGAGCAAGACTCTGTCTCAAAAAGAAGAAAAAACCCAAAAAAGGAAGTAATAATGTATTAATGGACATGCAAAGTCTTTTCTACATAAGGATGTTCATTGCGACATTTATTTATGGAAGCCAAAAACTGGAAACAGTATCCAGCAGTAAGGTACTCAGGAATATAAACTACCCTGTACAACACAGAATTCCGTGGTAACCTAAATATGTCAGGGAGAATATTTAATGGCATGAAAAAATGCTTCTGATGGAGTCTTAAGTAAAAGATAAGTGTATGTACAGTATAAACGTATGCAGGAGTGGAGAAACACTGGGCAGACAGAAAAACATTAATATTGCAAGCCCTGGGCAGTGAGACTACGGTGACGTAATTTTTAAATGTTTATCTCTATTTTACCCACAGTGAAGGTGTATTGCTTTTGTAATCAGGAAAACACACACATTAACTTTTTTTTCCAAGGCCACCGTTATTACTGAGTGTATAATCCCCTAGAGTTTCTGCTGAATGTACTATTGAGCAAGAGCTGGCTCCAGCAGGCTGAACACTGAGCTCAGAACGCCCTTGCGATGGCCCAGTGACGAGGGAGGGCGTGGGGAGGCACTGACCTGGCTCTCTGGTGGGAGGACCACCTCATCATAGGGTCCCACGATGGAGCTGGCAAACTTGCTGAAGATGATGGGCTCCTTGGGCACGGACATGTTCAGTTCTTTGCAGTGGTCCACATAATTCATGCCCACACACACCACCTTATCTGGCCGTGTGACTGGAGCCAGGAAGGTTACCTCCGATCGTGGTAGGACTGGCAACTGGGCAGCCAAGGCTCTGTAGAGACCACAGCAGGTGAGAGGGTCTGGCTGGGAACAGGTCAGCAATCCCGGCAGGTTGGGCAGATCCTGCAGCAGCTATAGGTTTTGCTTTTTGAAATGTATTTCCTAGCTCTATCAACCATCGGAGTCAGTATGAAAATCAAGCCGAGCTATCGTCCTTTGATACCAGAGCAGGGCTTTTATTTTTCCAGTGTTGATTTCCTCTCCCGCTTCGGTAACTCATGTCCATGTAAAAGATACAAACTGGAAGACACAGAAAGGTCTCCCGTTCCCCTTCTGGTTCCCCTGTTCCCCTGGCTCTTCGCAGCTACTCTATGGATATTCTTCTCCCAGCCTTTTGTATGCAAATGACAGCACCAATCTTTACACTTTTGACCAAAACAACTGCTTTTGGAGATCTCTCCTTAACAATATGTAACAATACATAGAAGGCGTCCTCTTTATTGCTTGTGGTTGTATATTACTGCTGTATAGAGATATACCCAAGTCCCTAATGAGGGACATGGAGGTTTCTCATCTTTGCGGAATATGGCAATATGGGAACATACTGTTAATACTGTGAGCCGTGAAACATTTGTATTTTTTCCTATTTTAATAGATGAAAACGACATCTTAACGTGTTTTTATTTTATTGTTCATCAGCTCCTTAGACCAGATTCTGTAGGGGTCCAGGCTTCAGGGACGCTCTCACCTAATCTAGTCCAAATCCAGGAACTGTCTTGTAAAAAACCTCCCTGCAGTCCTCTCTCCTTGTAGGAGCTGGGAGTCTCTATCACTCCCCCAGCTG